ACACACACTCACTAATGAATGCACACAGGCATACAGTCATAGCTTTGAGCCTAGTGTTAAATGTCACAGCTTGCCGAGAAAGCCTGATGTGTGATCCTGTATTGGCCCATTTAAATATATACAACCATGTCATGATGATATATGTTGTATTAGATAATGCTGACCTACTAGAAATGAATGTATTTTGAGAACGGAATATTGCCATACACTGTTAAAAAAAATACATTTATATTTGTGGTGTTTTAATTACTTATGAAGTAAAAACATGAAATGTTTAACAGCCCAAAGGTTGAATTTCTTTGGAAGTCTATTTTAAACTTAACATCTATTATTCTGCTCACATGTAGTTTTCGACAAGGTAGACATCTGTTTCGAACTCCACTGACAAAGCATAATGGTCCAAAACTATTAGAATGTTGGTTAATCATTGTTTCCTGTTTAAACTGTGTGCTGACAATTTCATTGCTACAAATATTTTTTGTAAGGGAATATGCACCAGCGTTTTGACATATTTGTACTTTATGGACCGTAGGTAGGTTTCAGTTCAGCCATTGTTTGACATGTTGCTTGGAAACACTTTTTGTTTCTCGTTAATCCTTCCTTTGTACTTATGGCTGCTGAAATAAGGGTCCCTGAGGGCTGAATAATGATGTAATTATGGAGAATGAGCAGGAAGGGGTGGGAACAACATTCTTCTCTGTGCTCGTTTTGTACATGTATTTGCACTTGAGTCAGCCATGGTCTAACTTTATTGGGAAGCTTGACCGAAAGTTACTTATCTTTTGAGTCATACCTTTTGAACTTTGAGTCCAAATGGCTTGGCTTGCTAATTACCAGGTGGTGAATGTAGAGTGAGACATTGCCATATTCTTACATCATTGGGATTTATTTGAGGAAATGTAATGCCAAAAGTTGTAGCAGACTAGCAGTGATCTCATCATTTCCTTTTGAAGCAGCAGGGAGGACAGCAGAAACATGAGAGAACACAGAGACAGAAAGGAGGAGGAGCGTATACACCTATTACGTCATTTATTAGTCTCAAGAACAGATTTATTGTCCTCTGGAGAATCACTGCTAGGGTGTGTATATATGCCAGTGTGTGTGTTGGGCTGGACTCACAAGAGAAATAGAGAGAAAGCTGACAAGAGAGGATATTTTCTAAAACTGCTCAACCAACATGTCTCAGGTAGGAGGACACTCTTATATTATTAAAGACTTTCTGCTCAAGTCTCATATGTGTGATGTCTCATATTTGTTCTCCTTCCAGCCAGGGCAGGAAGAAGATGAAATGCAGCGTCCTGAGGTGAGCGAAGAGGATCTGACTGAAACAATAAACAAACTTGGCAGAAGTGGGCCGGCGAAGAGCAAGACGACTGAAGTTATGCAGGATTGCGGTGAGGACACACACATAAACACCATGATAAACACACATGGAATCATGATTTGACACTAGTCTTACAGATGGAAAGCTCTCTTTCTGCATCTGGTTAAATCACACCATGGCAGTGAGTTTGTGCGAGGGGCGTTTCCTCCTGATGCTGAAGTTTCCACTCCATATACAGAGAGAACAGGGGGGTTTAATGATGGGAGATTCTTTTCAAACAGTCTCCCAGTGTGTGTGTGTGTGTGTGTGTGTGTGTGTGTGTGTGTGTGTGTGTGTGTGTGTGTGTGTGTGTGTGTGTGTGTGTGTGTGTGTGTGTGTGTGTGTGTGTGTGTGTGTGTGTGTGTGTATATAAAGTAATAATACAGAGCATTTCTGCAAAATGACATTGCCCTTTTCTCTCCCACATTAACAATGAAATTGTTTTGTCCTTCTTCACAGAGAAAGTTGGTAAAGCAGCCCCCTCTGTGTTCAGTGGAGCGAGGTCAGGAACGGAGACTGTTCTCAACGCACGCTCAGGCCCACCAATAATCAGGAAGAAGCAGTAGGCTCCCTGACCATGATTTGACAACACATGTTTGGAATCTGTTGGTTTTCCAGCTGTGCTTTAGTCCACTAAAAGCCTCTTTTTTTTTTTGTTCTTCTAAAGCCTGTGTTAAACACTTAATTACAAAACACTTAATTATGTTTGGTTATGGAATTTGTATTATAGTGATAGTTAACTTCTTCAGTTCAATCTTCCTGTATTTCTGGTTTATACAAAGAAACACATTTTCAGCGTGTTTCTTTGTATAAACCAGACATACAGGAAGATTCTACTGGATGGTCTTCTACTCATTAAAAAAAATAATTATATAAGATTAGTAAGAAAAAAGTTGTGTTTTCCTACGGGACACACGGTGGCTTGTCTGGCGAGCTAAATGCTAACATTTGCTCTGATGACTTCAGATCTGTCCAATTATTACAATCCTTAATGTTAAAAATATAAAGTTAAAAGACTAAGAGCAAAGAAGTATTTTGTCAAAAGTGTTGCAAAAAAATAAATAATTACAGATTTTTAAAAATGTTATATGAGCCAATAGAAATACACAACTCATCATACAACAACAGTCCTGTCATTTGTATTATATTTAAACAAATACATTGAAAAACATGTTCCAATATACTGGTTTGTTTTCTTTATTTTTTATAACATAACGATTTTTTCTTTAATTATTGCAGTTTTTGTCACAAAGCATGTATCTACTCTTTCCGGGTGCAGGGTAATAATGAGAAATACGAGAGAAACTGCAAGACTTTTTTGGGAAATCTGTTGTGACAAGACTTCCCATTACGTCTCACCCATTCTACTTTTCATTGTAAGAAGTGCCAGCAATATTATAATTGTCCATTGATGTAATAAACCATTCAAAAAATATAAATGACAATGAGTTATTTTTTCTTTTTATTCCAAAAAATATTTTCATGAACGTACTGAATGAATACAACTTTATTAGAACAAAACTACTACAGTAGATGAGGCGGCAACTCTAGAATGAGCCATATGGAGGGTAAAGATTGAGAGAAAGCGTACAAAAGAATCAAAGCCAAACATTTAACAGCTGGATGAACACCAGCCCTTTGAGTCGTGAAAGCAAAAGATGATATTAGTCTATTTCATGAATTTGTGATGTTGATCTTGGAGGATTTTGGCAGAAGACTTGGCGTCGTAGAACAGCTCGTTAATTTCCTCTACCTGCTCCCTCTCCACGTTCTCTTTTCCCTGAACACGGCCCAGCAGGCTGGCTGGAGTCAGCAGCTGGACAGCGTACCTGAGAGGAAACAGGAAGTAACAGTATGATCTCACATGCATATACACTATAAGCCACTTGAAGGAGAAGTTGCAGGTCCTAAATGTATGATACTGATAATAATGTATGATACTTAGCTGAAGGAGTTTCATCTGAATTTACCAGAACTACCAGTGGCATCGATAACTAACATTTAGAATAACTACTGTATATAGAAATGGTCAATCGTCTTGTTTACTTCAGAAGGCCATATAAAAAGGCATCAGAACTAAAATGGGACTGTTTTATCTAGGGGTGCACCGAATGGGTAATTCTTGCCGAAACCGATACCGAAAATAGGAAACAGTTGGCCGAAAACCGAATGCCGAAAGGCCGAAAATGATTAATAGAAATATATATATATATATATATA